ATCTATAATCAAATAATTGACCCCAAACTACATAATCTACAGTGTTGAGATAATAAAGTAAATCCACGGATGGACCACTTAAACACATAGAATGTCATGAAAATACTTGATTTTTACTATTAAACGTTGAAAGGATAGATGCAAAATGTCAAATGTAGTTTTATTTCAAAAATCCTGGGAAGAAAAAAAATCCAGAGAGAAAGAAAACCCTCTGTCTGTGTCTCTCTGCTCCTCAGCCCGTGTCCTGTGGGTTGTTTCTCCTCTACATGACCCACTTCTCTCTGGGAAGGAGGAATGATTCCGACATCACACAAGGAGAGGGAACGCTGGCTGCCAGTGTCACCATGACTAGCAACAAATCTAGGACATATGTGGAGGTGTCTACCCTCGGCATGAGGGAGCAGCAAACAAATGTCTGAGAAAAGCCAATTTAACTTCTTCCATCCTCTGAAGGGCCCGGGGTGGGGGGAAGTTGATGGAGATGTCACTGCTCAGACCTACAGAGCAAGGCACAAAAGGAACCAAAGGAGCCAACCATTTCTTGTGTGTCTTGAATTTTTGTTTTGGATCGCTGTCTTATTCTCAGTCTCTAGCTCCCTCTTGAGGACGTCTGGGTCTTGGAACCCTGGACCCTCCTACCTTTAGGGGAAACTTCATCTGGTCTATAGAGATATTTCCCAGAAGACCTCATCTTCTGTAAGTCACCCAAAGGGTGGAGCTTCTTTGGAGAACTGAGGGAAATCTTCCATTTGGCTCCTCCTAGGAACCAAATAGACTTGGCATCAGCATCTCGTTAAAGACTGAGTTAAGGGGCACTTGGGTGGCTCAGTGGGTTGAGCTTCTACCTTCTGCTCAGGTCATGATCTCAGGGTCCTGGGATTGAGTCCCACGTTGGACTCTCGGCTCAGTGGGGAGCCTGCTTCCCCCCGCCCCCACACTGCCTGCTTCTCTGCCTACTTGTGATCTCTTTCTCTCTCTCTGTGTCAAATAAATAAATAAAATCTTAAAAAAAAAAAAAAAAAAAGGACTGAGTTAAGCCTCAATTTTCCCAGCTTCAAATGGTTCCTAGTCTTCCTCTGCTTCTCAGATCCAGAGACTAGGATAGCTAAAACTCCATGGGAAACAGTCTAGAACATTTTGAAACCTTCTGTGAAGTTCTTTGCTTTCATTTAGGGATTATCTATCTATAGGGCTTAAGTGATATGGTTTAGACATCTATCCAGAGGATTAGGACACAACCCTGACAGCAAGAAAGGATAAGGGTTGAGAGTCTTGTGGTGTGGACAAGACTATGAACTGAGGGCTGTGTGAGGAGACAGTCAACCAGGGCAGCTCTGGAGACCTTAACAACGTTGGGCTTAGAGGAGTTTGGGCAAAGCCAAGTCAGGACTGGGCACTCAGTACTCCCTATTTCCTTCTGGGGTCCAAACCACGTCCTTGTCCCTCTATAAGCCTCTCTGGGGCATGGGGAGCCAGTGGCTGGGGATGACCAGAGGAGAAGCTGTTGCATGGTGTCATGTTAGGAGTCATATATGTTGGGGTACCTGGGGTTGTACATGGAGGTTCAGGGAACACAAGAACAACTCAGTTGCTTATTTGTTGGGACTGACTGTGTGGGAAGGTTTTGGACAGTGACGGGATGGGATGATGTTTGTGTTAGAGCTCTAGGGGCATGGAGAGATCTACAGGTGAATAATTCTGCCTGTGGAGCAGATCTGTGTTCTAGTACAGCTCTTCTGGTCCCAAAGGCTGACATCCGTGGTGATGCTTCAGCATCCTGGGCACACGAGTCACACTTAAACCACACCCTGGGTGAAAAGGACCATGACATCGTGTTGAGCAGAGTGTTTCTAAGGAAATGATTAACCAGTGAGGCGGGGTTGGGGGGGGAACCAAGAGTTGTCGCCAGGGGCCCAGGCTTAGCTGGTTCCTTCTACCCAAACAGAGCTATGAACTGGATTTTTCTCTTTACCATCTGCAAAGCAGACACGTGTAATGTTCTTCCCTGGGGTTTTGGCTGCACAGATGGGATGTGTATAATGATGCCACTGAGTCCGGAGTATCCCGAGCTACGTTTGATCCGGACGCAGGTGGACAGAATGGAATTGGGGAACCCCAGACTCCAAGCAGGCTTTTTAGTCACTGCTTCATTCATCAAACATTCAGAAGTCTCTCTCATATGCTATCGCTGGGTTTGCCAATGGGGAACAAAAACACACATTCACATGGGGTATCTGTAAAGATCGGGAGCCTTAATTAAGTGTACCTACGTTTTGGCCCTGAAAGTCAACAGCAAGGAAAATATCCTATAGAAATAACCTCACTTACAGGGAACATTTTATGGGTGTATATGTTTGGTACAATTTATTTATAAAATAGTTAAAAACTAAATTAAAAACTGGAACTAGTTCAAATGTAATAGTGTAATGATCTGTAATCATTGAGCTGTGATCAATGAGCTGTAATAGTGTGTGATCATATTGATGAACTAGGCTTATAGTTGAGTCAGACAGCTCTTCAAAATCCTGGAACAATCTGGAAAAGTCTTACAATAGTAAGTATAAACAATAAAAATACAAAATTACATTCATATCATGATTACAATAATGCCCCTCAGCCCCCAGACATACAGTAGAAAGAAGAAAGCAGGTAAGCCAACAGAACATCATAGCCTAGGAAAAAATGCACTTGAAAGAAATAAACCAAAATGTTAATAGTGGTTATGTTTGGGTAATAACATTTTTGCTACCTTCCAGGAAAGAAATTTTACTCAAATCATGCCTCAGACTTCATATATGCCACAGTAAGATGGGAAGAGTGTAGAGGCAAACCGCCACATCCTTACTGGCACCCATCCTGCTGCTTACCTAGCTTTCAGAAATAAAGCAAATTTTAATCTTTTCTATTTTACTTATTTTTTAAATTGGCTTTTGCTGGGGTGCCTGGATGACTCAGTCGGAGGAGCATGTGTCTCTTGGTCTTGGGGTCGTGAGTTCAAACTCCACATTGGGTGTAGAGATTACTTAAAAATAAAACTAGCTTTTGCTACTTTTGGGTGGTGAACTAGAGCTCATATTACAAATGAAGTAAAAAAAAAAGCCAAACCCCAATTTGAATTAAAGATACCTGTAATGTTGCTTTTTCTCTATTCTTATGAGACTCCCTTATAAGCCTATGGAGAAGACTTTGTGCAGACCTGAGCAGCAGCAGCCATTTTGTAACCATGAAGTGACACCCCCCTCCCCACAAAGAAAAGCCAACAAAATGTTGGGGGAAAGGGAAACATTTTAAGAAAAGTGTCCCTGATGATGTCATTGAGCTGCCAGACAAACCCTGGAAATACCATCTTGACTTTACAATAAGGACACAGGAAATGTTTCAGGGTTTTTGAGGAACAAGTACTTCCTTTGAACATTTCTTCACTTTCTTAGTTATTCAGGGCTAATTATTATTATAAGAGGTGACTATGCCATAATTGATTTAATTGTATGGATTTTAATTAGTTAATTTTGGTTTTTTACTTTAAAAATTACTTCTTTTTTAAAAAAATAATAATAATTTTTATTTTTTAAGTAGGCTCCATGACCAGCCTGGAGCCCAACACAGGGCTGGAATTCATGGCCCTGAGATCATGACCTGAGATGAGATCAAGTCCAACGCATAACCTACCGAGCCACCCAGACATCCTGTAGGTCCTTTTAAAATTGTTACAAATAGGCTGTGACAAACACCATTATCCATACAATTTTCTTCATCCTTCTACTTCTATCCATAGGACAGATCCCTGGCAGAGTACTTTGTGGTCAAAGGGTAAGAACAGTTTAGGGCTCTCCGTTCACATTAGCCTAACCAACCCAGGGACCAGCTGTCTTGCGGGGGTCTCAACCTTTTGATCGTGATGGCATGTGCTCAAAATGCCTGGGCTACGTAGTTATAGCTGGTGGTGAGCTCCCCAGACATTTCCCTGACTGGAGCCAATGTTGTGGCCCGACAGGACTTTGTGGCTCTTACTATGAGTGTGAGGTTCACACCTCAGCAGCAACCACCAGGGAAATTTTAAAATACAAGGTTTATTACTCACAGGGGTACATGGCATGCCCGAGGGCCCCTCAGTGAGGTCACTGGTAAAGAGAGAGGGAGAGCATAGACCTAAGGTTCTGCCCTTATTGGGGTTAAGGGTGGGGTGCCCAGGGCTTTGTGGGTTCCCTATTGGCAAATGTAAAACCTAAGAGCAGGAATTAGAACGCAGGAAGCAAATAGTGGGGTCGCTCAAGTGACCAGCTGTATCGGTTACTCGGGCTTTTCTCAAAGGGGAAATTTATAGGCGGGACAGCCTGGCTCTTTCTCTCCAGGCCTTGCTGGCAGTATGTCTTTCAAATGATGCCTTGGCAATCCGAAGCTGACATTGCAATCAGAAGTGCTCATTGCCAGGCACTGACACTCTGGGCGCACTGCAGAGACCCGTGCGGGTTTGGCGATGGAGCTGAAGTCTGAAAGGTCAGCCTCCGTCTTGCCCGTTGAAGAGCTGAGGCTTCCCTAGTTCTGCTGTCTCCGTCTGGGGTGTGGTCCCCCAGACTCCATGGCATTATCCTCTGGGTCACCTAGAGGCCATCTGAACAGCTGGGGCACAGAGCACAGGCTCTGTAGCAGAAATGGCTTCATCTCCTGATCTGCTAACCAGGTCACACCAGCATCTCACCTCCTCTCACTATAGAAACCATTTCCCCCTCAGGTAGGCAACTGAACCATGGTTGCAAATAGCCTGAACTTCGGTGGTGACCCAGAGCTCTCCCACCTTATGTGACTCACAGCACGACACCAACACCAATGGTTTTAAATATCCCCCCTTGGTTTCCTCAACTTTCTGTCTTCTAACGCTCCGAGGCTGTCTATAAAGACGGGACATGGTTTAGACCCCAGAAGGAGGCAGCAGCTGTGGGTCTCCAGTCCCAGCTCCACGTGGCTACTGCTCGAGCTCACACCCTCTGCTACCCAGCGCCATGGAGGTCCCTGCAGCTGGCCTGGCCGTCCTGCTTCTCACCACGGCACTCTGTTCCCAGACCTCATCTTCCTTTTGTGAGTCTGTCCTCCCTGCCTCCTTTTGCCCTATCCTTCCACTCCCTGGCCACGGCTTGGACCCCAGTGCCCAAGTCTTGTGCCTGAGCCCCTCTGAGTAGAGAACTTCAGAGAGCTGTCAGAGGCTGTTTCCTGAGGAGGAGTGTCTTTCCCATAGTGTTTTAGCCATTCTGTTATCCAGCTCTGGGAGAGAGTGGGAGGAAGTCCCATTTTAAGGATGGAAAAATGGACGCCCAACTGGGATCTCGGACAACAGGTGAAACCTGTGGCCAGATGACTCCCAAGGCTGTGGCCTTTGCTCTCCTTGTGAATTCCAGATGGCACTGCCCCGCGAGAGACAGAAAGGGAGTAGTTTGTTCAGAAAGCTGAAGTTGTGGTGGAGAGACACAGAGACTCCATACCAAAATAGAGAGAGAATGACAAACATGGAAAGAGACACAGAATATAAAAATGTCAAGGAAAAGAAGAAATGCCAGCTTCCTTCTGGGTCTCTTTGTCTGCACATCCCCATGCCTGTGCAGGGCTGTCTCCTTCCAGTTCTTCCTGACCCTGGGGGAGTGGTTGGCTCGCCCAATCTTCTGAAGAGTCACTTAGGATCTTTCTGTCCTGTTTCTCTCAGTTGGTGCTGACACCCCGACCTCCTGCTGCTTCTTCTATATCTCTCGGCAGATTCCTCGGAAATTTGTGGCCAACTATTATGAGACCAGCAGCCAGTGCTCCAAGCCCGGTGTCATGTAAGGCCCAATCTTCCTGGGGAGGGCAATGGGAGGGCTGAGATGAGCCCCCCCAACTCCTTGGAGGACTCAGCCTTCTGAGACCATTGGAGCACAGAACACCAGGGGAGGCCACTGCCATGTCTCTGACCGGGTCTGATGCCTGTGGGGAGCCCTGAAGGAATTGCCCCTGTGTTAAGGTGACAGCAGGAAGTTGGCTTTCTGAGTGGACCCCCGTATGAGACCCAGAGGAGGTCATGAACCCCAACATGGAGAGTACATTTTATGAGCCTGTGGACAGGACCTGAGAGATCTGAGGCAGAGAAGGAAGGAGGGGTCACAGTGGGCCTAGGATTCCCCTGCTACATTCCTTAGTGTGTAATCCTTCCATGCCTCTCCACAGTTTCCAAACCAAAAGAGGCCGGCAGATCTGTGCCCACCCGAGGGAGGCCTGGGTCCAGGAGTACATCAGCGACATGGAGCTGAATGCCTGAGTGGCCTGGAAGCTACAAGGAAGGTGTTCCATCTGTGTGAAGACTGGCACCTGCCCAGGGCAATGACCTTGGAACTCTGGAGGGCACCTCCTCTACGGGTCTCACCCCCCACCCCCGGCCACACTTTGCAGCCCTCTTTTACTTTAATTTTCGTTTATGTATCTTATTTAACTTTTGTAACTTATTTCCATTGTTGAATTGTGTGATGTAATAGATATTTTCTCTGACTTCTCATGACATTCTCTTCACCCGCCCCCCTTCAGTTTCTCCTCATATTCACTATATGGATCGCTCAGCAGGATGAGCTCTCTCTTGGAGCAGCTCTATCATAGATCTCAAACAACAAATGCTCACGGGATGGTTGGCCCAGCACTGCGTTTCAAAATATTGAAGGGGGGCGCCTGGGTGGCTCCGTCATTAAAGCGTCTGCCTTTGGCTCAGGTCATGATTCCGGGGTCCTGGGATGGAGCCCCTCATCAGGAGCCGGCTTCTCCCTCTCCCACTTCCCTTGCTTGTGTTCCCTCTCTGGCTGTCTCTCTTTCCCTGTCAAATAAATAAAATCCCTTAAAAAATACTGAAGACTCTTATATAAAAGGTAAAGCAGCCTTTTCCTTGGGATGACTCCATTGATTTTGTCTTCCCAACTGATCAGAACCACAGGCTGAGAGGGATACTGGGGGAAGAGTAGAGACATCTGAAGAGGGGCAGAAACCACCAGAAAGGGACAGAGGGCTAGCACAGGGGTGCCAGATCCTCGCTGGAGATGCTTTCCTAGAAAGCTGAAACTGACACATTGTTTTATCACTAAGTCATAATCGATACGATCTAGGACATCTTTCTCCTTAAATGACTACTGAGATGATGAAACATACTGTGAATGCGTATTTATGCACACACCTTCATTTTCCTAAGCGAAGCTTTCTTCAGAACAATGGCTAATATTTGTTGAGCGTCTAGCAAATGCTGGGAGCTTGGATGCTTCTGTTAGCAACGGTCTAGCAAACCTGCCTGCGACCTAGCAGAGACTCCCCGTCTACCAGGAGGCCGACGGCCCTGGTCAGCTTCTCAGGTGTTCTATGCTCTGCTTTCTGGGAGAATGTTCTCCAAAGCCATATCTAAGTTGAGGCTTCGAGGCTGCAGTGGCCAGAGTTAGCAAATTAAAATACAGAATGAATGATGTTTTAGTATAAGTATGTCCCAGGCAATATTTGGGATATACTCATAAAAAATCATTTACTGTGTGTCCGAAATTCAAATTTAACTGGGAATCCTGTCTTTTATCTGGGAATTCCACTTAGGGTGAAGACTTTTGTAGAGGCTGGCTATTTCCTGTTGGAGTGGGTACCTAAAGAGTTGCTTTCCAACCTTGAATTCATGTTAGAATCCCTTCTGAAAGTTTTTAGAAACTCCAGTGCCAGGACCTCACCTCCAAAGTTATGCATTTAGTTCGGGTTTAGTTAGGTGGGGACTGGGCGTCAGTGATTGTGAAACTCCCAAGGTGATGAAAAGCACAGGCAGTTTGAAAACCACTGCCGGGTGTCATCAGAGCCTGTTTCAGCCAGCTTTGGGGTTTCAGAGGCAATGCCGCTCCTTTCTTATTCTTAAGACTTCTGAGCTGTTTTTGGTTACTTCCATTGGGTGGTTAATTAGAAGCAGAAAATCTGCTAGCTGTTAGCTAGCTGCCAGCTAACATCACTTCTAGAAGTGGATTCAGAAGGCCTCTCTCTCAGTGCACGAGCGCTGGTGGGGCTGGTCCCCCTGGTTCCCCCTTTCACTGCCACACCCCATCTCCCAGGCCACTGACTGCTGTCCCCACAATGCCCTGCTGAAATGATGCCATGGGCGCTGGGGTCACGGGAATCCGCTCCTTGCTTCTGGTGGCATCCCAGCTGTGATGTAAGTGCGGGACTGCTCATTTTGTCCACAAGATAAATGTTTGAAAGGAGGGTATCTGCAGAGAGGGTGGATACGGCTGTTTCTGGACTCCACTTTTTCATCCTTCCTCGTCTCCCATCTTCCCATTTCTGTTCATACTAACATCATCTTGCCGAGGAGAGGTCTGCTTTTCCCGTCAGCAAGCTCTAGGTCACTGCTGTGCAAACCAGCTTGGTGTGCAGGCAGCAAGAAAAAGAGGGCTTCCCCTTTTAAAAAAATTATTTTTATTAACATAAAATGTATTATTTGCCCCAGGGGTATAGGTCTGTGAATCATCAGTCTTACACACTTCACAGCACTCACCGGAGCACATACCCTCCCCAATGTCCATCACCCAACCACCCTCTCCCTCCCTCCCTCCCTCCCCCCAGCAACCCTCAGTTTGTTTCCTGAGATTAAGAGTGTGTTATGGTTTGTCTCCCTCCCAATCCCATCTTGTTTCATTTTTTCCTTCCCTACTCCCCATGACCCCTAACCCTGCCTCTCAAATTCAAGAGGGCTTCTCTTAAAGAAACTATTTTTCCCCCTCTCTGCTATCAGACAAGCCAATTTCAAAGTGAGCCCTAATGATTTGTGCAAGAATTAGTCTCCAACATCCTGAATTTTCCTTTTTGATGCAACCTTGCTAGGCAGATGGCCTTAGTAAGAATACAGAACAGGCCAGGGAGGGAACCGACTGTTAGACTAGGAGGAGGCGTCCTCACTGACTGGCCTCGGCTTCTGCCCTCAGCCGGTTCCACTCTGCGGGGTGTGGTACTTACGGCACTGCAGTTAGGGATACTTTGAGTTGTAGTACCAGAAAAGCTGACTCAAGCGGACTTAAGGGATAAAGGGAACCTGTTAGCTCACAGAAGTGAAGCTTCAAGAAGTTGATTAGCTTCAAGCAAAGCTTGATCCAAAGCTTTGCATCCTTAGTCCTCAAGTATGATGAAAAACCATGGTTCCTTCTGAATTTCAGATTTCCCTTCAATATGAGAGTTCATCCTAGGACACCCCACTGTAAAGTGAGTCACTTTGCTAGTAGGCACCTTCCAGGATTTACAAATTACCCTCTTGAGACCCCTTCATTGGGCTTCAAGAGGAGGAGAGGTGATGACTTACCTTCACAAAGGTGGAGCCCACTAGGTTGGCCTCTCTTTCCTCTCTCTCTCTCTCTCTCTCTCTATTACTCTCCCCTGAGAGTTAGCAAATAATATTGTTCATCAGGGAACTATGTAGATAGAGGATCTGAGAGAGACAGAGGATAGAGGATCTGAGAGAGACAGAGAGTGAGACAGACAGATATACACAGAAAGAGAGAGAGAGGAGGCAAGGGGATAGGGGAGAGAAAGGAGTATTGGGAGGCAGCTGTGTTCCCACTATATGGACTGAGTTTACCACCGGATTCCTAGCATGAAGATAGCTGGATTGAAGAGGATGTACATTTAACATTTCAATAGGGACTGGTTATTGCTCTCTACAAACCTGATCAAAATTCCACTTTTGATACTAAAAAATAGTTTAAAACAAAAAGAAGTATACCTTATCAAAAATTGAATAAACATTTGCATTTCTCATAAGTATGTTGAATTTCCCCCTCTTGAATTTTACAACAAACAACCTAAGTCTACCTTCCTTATACTTAAAAACATGACCTAGGCCAGGTTTAAGCAAATTTTTCTATAAAGGGTCAGATAGTAAATGTTTTTGGCTTTGTAAACATACAAGCCCCGCTGCAGCTACCAAGTCTGCCACAGGGAAGGCAGCCCCGGACACTATGTAACAGAATGAAACTTTATTTACAGAGACTGCATCATAATGGATTTGTTCTGAGAACTATAGCTTGCGAACCGTGATCTCAGTAATCAGTCTGATAAATAATTTGGCATTCACAACAGAAGTCTCATTGCATATAGTGGCTGATTATTTTTTTCTTCTCTTATGTTAGCCACTGCTTTTGTGGAGCATGGATTCTAGGAAACTAATATCCAGGCAAGATGTCTATTGCTGTATGCACTTTATTAAGAAACGAGTGATAAGTCCTTATTGCTGAAGTCACTGGTTTTTGGTCTTCTGTGTGCATGTAAATCACTTGAGGGTTTGGATCTCCAGATCCAAACCCAAGAAATTCTGTTGCCAGCATTTTAAACAATCATCCCTTGTGGTTCTGGAATGCTCTGAGAAATGCTGGCATAGGCTTACATCTTCGTTATATTATTTATTAGCTGCCTGACCACAGGCAAATTGTTTCACCTTTCTGAGCCAACATTTCCTCTTCTGCCAAATGGAAACCTTGGTGAAATTATTAGGATTGAAAGGACAATGTATAATTTTTAGGAAAATTTGATTCATGAGAAAAGTAAATTTAAATGAATATATACAAAGAATGAATATAGTTAATGCATGTACACTCTATGCTAGGTACATAGTATTTCATCATCACTGTTTTCTAAGCTAATGCTTTGTGTTTTAGCTCTCAGGAATGTGTAGAGACAGGTATTACCGTCATTTCCTTTCTGTGGACTTCCCCTCTTCAGATTTTTTTACTCTTTGCCCCTTAGCTCCCCCCCCCCACACATAATGTTTTCCAACTGGAGATCCTGACTTCATCATAAAAAAAAACCCATAGAAGCACCCAAAAGACTGGTTTGGTTTTGAGAAATTCCATTATTTCATGCAGCTGAACACAGAAGTGGCAAATAACATTCTATAAATATTTGTTGGTTGATGGTTTTGAAATGATTTCCCCCTAGAAAATGCTAAGCATAAGCACCTACACACTTGTGTCAACCACTGTGTGATTGGACGGGCACCGGGGCGTGTTGAAGAGAGAGTTGTAGGAGCTCTCCCTGCAGGCAGTCAAGAGCGCGTGGAAATACATTACACAGATGAGTCTAAGGAAGATTACGTTTACATCCAGAAAGAGGCCCAGAGTGTAGTAGCTTGATAACCAGCACCTAGCACAGGTAGCTTCAGGAGTTGAAGGAACATTCTACCCGGGGCTCAGGTCCCTGCTCCCTCATCTGGCCACAGATGTATCTAGTTTTTTATTGCTTCCAGGCCACTCAGGGATTCAGCTCCACGGT